CCAGAGTTACCAGGCATGATGGCTCAAGCCTGTGATCCTAGTATTTAGGCAGACTAGTATTTAGTGGATTTAAAGTTGGAGTCTAGCCTAGACTTCATGGAGACCTTGACTTTTAAAAACAGTTCCTCAGAAACAATCAGGGCTATGAAGACGGCTCAGACGGTGAAGCGTGAGGTCCTGAGCTCAGGTGCCTAGCACCCATGGAAAAGCTGGACATAACGGCAGGACACACATCTGTAACCCCAAGTTTGGGGGCAGAGATATGAGGAACCCAGGGACTAGCCACCTACTCTAATTGAAAGGGTGTGCTCTCAGTTACTGGACAGTCTGAAAAAAATAAGATGGAGCTGGGTTGGTGGTGCATACCTTTAACCCCAGCTCTGGGGAGGCAGAGACAGGTGGATCTATGTGAGTTCGAGGCCAGCCTGGTCTACAAAGTGAGCTCCAGGACAGCCAGGACAGTTACACAGAAAAACCCTGTCTTGAAAAAGCCTCCCCCGCCCCCAAAAAAACTAAGTAAAAAATAAAGAGCCGGGCGGTGGTGGCGCACGCCTTTAATCCCAGCATTCGGGAGGCAGAGCCAGGCGGATCTCTGTGAGTTTGAGGCCAGCCTGGTCTACAAAGCTAGTTCCAGGACAGCCAGGAATTTATAGTCTCGAAAAACCAAAAATAAAAAAAAATAAAATAAATAAAAAAAGATACTATTGCCTATCTTTTTAGACAAGTCTTATGTAGCCCAGGCTAGTCTCAAATTTGCCATGTAGCAGAGGATAATCTCAAATGCTGAGATTATAGGCATGTATTAATTACCATGCCTAGTTTATGTGGTAGCGGGAATCAAACCTAGGGATTCCTCACTCTACCAGCTGAGCTATTTCCCCAGCTCCACCAACATCAAATCAGTCAGGTTTGTTTGTTTGCTTGTTGTTTGTTTATGAGACAGGCTTTCTCTGTGTACCTTTGCAGCCTGTCCTGGAACTCACTCTGTAGACCAGGCTGGCCTTGAAATCACAGAGACCCTCCTGCCTCTGCTTTCAGAGTGCTGGGATTAAAGGTGTGCACCACCATCGCCCAGCTATCAGTCAGGTTTATATAGACACAAAGTAATAGATACAGTTCAATAGATATTTTCAGTTTGGGAATATAGAAAGGTTGGATGATGGTCATAGTTGCACAACAATATGAATACATTTAATGCCACCAAATGTACACTCAAAAATAATTTAAATGAAGCTGGGCAGTGGTGGCGCATGCCTTTAACCCAAGCACTTTGGAAGCGGAGGCAGGCAGATCTCTATGAGTTTGAGGCCAGCCTGGTCTACAAAGCGAGTTCCAGGACAGGCTCCAAAGCTACACAGAGAAACCCTGTCTCAATAAATAAATAATAAAATAAAATAAAAACAAAAAATCTAGATGTGGTGGCATACACACACACACACAGTACTCAGTCATGGGAGGCTGAAGGATCAGAGGTTAAAGGTCATTCTTGTCTATATCGTGAGTTCAAACCCAACCTGTTCTATAGAGGAACCTGTCTGAAACAAAACACCTTATGTATTTATGTAATCCCGTTTAATAAAATAAAAAAACAAAAATTAAATGAACTAAGTATAGTGTTTCATACCTGTAATCCGAGCACCCAGGAGGCACAAGGCAGGAGGATTGTGAGTTTGAGGCCAGCCCACTCTACAGTATATCAAGATATTATCCTAAAAGGAGGTGAGAGATAAAAGGGTAAAACTGGTACATTTTTCTTCATTTGCAGTGCTAGAAATGGTAACCAGGACCTCATGCTGAGTAAATACTCTACAGCTAATCTACATCTCAGATAGATAGCTTACTTAATTTTTGTTCTTTTTAATTAATTTTTGAGGTCTAGCTATGTAGTCCAGGCTGGCCTTGAACTCACAATTGTGGCTCAATCTCCTGAGTGCTGGGATTACAAATGTTAACCACTGTAGCAAAGAACATAGCTAAATTTTAAAGACGTTATTTGGAAAAATAGGTGTGAGTGGAACACATCTGTAAGCTCAATGCTTGGGAGGGTAGAAAGATTTCACGTCCCAGACCAAGTTCTACACACTTAAATTCTGTCCTTGGGATGCAGCTCAGTTGTAGAACACACAGAAACAGACACACACAGACACACAGACACACAGACACACACACACACACACACACACTCTCTCTCTCTCTCTCTCTCTCTCTCTCTCTCTCTCTCTCTCTCTCTCCCTCTCTCCAAATAACAACTTTTTTTTAAAAAAAAGTACTTATTTAAGCAGATTTTAAGCAGATTGTGGTGACTCATACCTTTAAGCCCAGCACTTGGGTTGGGGGAAGGCAGACAGATGTCTGTGAGTTTGAGGCCAGCCTAGTCTACATAGCAAATTCTGGACCAGCCAGAGCTGCATACACAGTTAGACCTTGTCTCAAAAAAATCAAACCAGCCAGGTGGTGGTGATGCACGCCTTTAATCCTAGCCCTTGGGAAAGACTGGCAGATCTCTGTGAGTTTGAGGCCAGCCTGGTCTACAGAGTGAGTTCCAGGACAGCCAGAGCTGTTACACAGAGAAATCTGTCTCGAAACCCCTCTCCCAAAAAGGTTTCACAGAAAATGTGTTACTATTAAGCTGTAGTAACATATAAGTAAGCTTTAAATTAATGCAAACATCACACGGAATTTTAGAATCAGAACATATTAACTCTTCCCTCCTCATGCTGTTTCTCTGAAACACCAGGTGAGTTCAAAGTGCTCAAATGATTCCAAACTACAGAGAGATTACTTTGAGAGCAAGGGTGGAAGGCTGTGGGGATGCTCAGCAGGTACAGGTGTTTTCTGCACAAGGACGAGGACCTGAGTTCATCCTCAGCACCCATGCAGGACGCCGGGAGTGGCAGCGCTCACCAGTAACTCCAGCACGGAGAGGTGGGGAAGCAGAGACAAACAGACCCTCCGGCCGGCCAGACTGACCAAAAGGCAAGTTCCCCATTCACTGCAGAGACCCACACCCAGAGGTGACATTTGCCCTTCATACCTGCACACACAAAGTGTAGACGTGCATAACAGACAGAAACACACACACAAACACACACACACACACACACACACACACACACACACACACACCAATTTCTAGAGCCATTTATAACTCAGAACAATAAAACATTATTTTCAGAGAGATGTAGTTTTACTATTTTATTTATTTATTTGAGATAATCCTATATAGCCTAGGCTGGCTTTGTAGTCAAGGATGATCTTAAATTCCTGATCCTCTTGCCTCTACCTCCTGAATGTTGGGATTACAGGCGTATACCCCACACTCATTTTATGTGGTGTTGGGGACCAAATCCAGGGTTTCATGTATACTAGGCAAACACTCTACCAAGGGAGTTACGTCCCCAGAACTTAGAAAGGTATTTTAAAACTATTTTATTTTATTTTATATTTGTTTTGAGACAGGGTTTCTCTGTGTTGTTTTGGAGCCTGTCCTGGATCTCGCTCTGCAGACCAGGCCTTGAACTCACAGAGATCTGCCTGGCTCTGCCTCCCAAATGCTGGGATTAAAGGCGTGCGACACCACTGTCCAGCTATTTTATTTTAATTTTTAAAATACAGATCTATGAGTTTAAGGCTAGCCTGGTATACAAAGGGAGTTCCAGGATAGCCAGGGCTATGCAGAGAAACCCTGTCTCAAAAAACAAACACAAAACAACAAAACTGACACCTTTTAACATGCTAGTTCAAGGTGATTGTCAAAAAGAAAGCAACATTTAGGGTTTTGTTTTGTTTTTTGTTTGTTTGTTTGTTTAGCCCTGGCTGTCCTGGAACTCGATTTGTAGACCAGGCTAGCCTTGAACTCAGCTCAGAGATCTGCCAGCCTCTGCCTATGGGGTATTGGGATTAAAAGGCCTGTGCCACCACTGTCCAGAAATTTAGTAATTTCTATGTATGTTCTTTTTTAATTAATTATTTATTTTTATTTTATGGACATTGGTGCTTGGCCTGCATGTATGTCTGTGTGAGGTTGTTGGATCCTCCAGAACAGGAGTTATAGACAGTTGTGAGCTGATGTGTGGGTGCTGGGAATTGAACCCGGGTCCTCTGGAAGAGCAGTCAGTACTCTTAACCACTGAGCCATCTCTCCAATCCCCTATATATGTTCTTTTTTACAAAATATTTTTTTTAAGATTTATTTTATTTATTATGTATACAGTGTTCTGCCTGCAAGTGTCTTTGCAGGCCAGAAGAGGGCACCAGATCTCATTACAGATGTTTGTGAGCCACCATGTGGTTGCTGGGAATTAAACTCAGGTCCTCTGGAAGAGCAGCCAGTGCTCTGAACTGCTGAGCCATCTCTCCAGCCCTTTTTTTTTTTTTTTTTTTTTTCGAGACAGGATTTCTCTGTGTAGTTTTGCGCCTTTCCTGGAGCTCACTTGGCAGCCCAGGCTGGCCTCGAACTCACAGAGATCCACCTGGCTCTGCCTCCCGAGTGCTGGGATTAAAGGCGTGGGCCACCAACACCCAGCTTCTCTGGTTTTGTTTACAAAATATTTTTATTATTTGTGTGTGTGTGTGTGTGTGTGTGTGTGTGTGTGTGTGTGTGCATGTACCTGAAGAGGACAGAGGCATCCCCTGGAGCTGGAGTTACAAGCAGTAATGATTTCTTAACCACTGAGCCATCTCCCCAGCCCCGTATATGTGCTAATAGACTTTTATCACTGAGTTTGCCCATTATCTTATCCTTGGGAGGTACCTCCTAGAGTTTGGGATCTAATATGCCCTGGAAACTGTAGACCAGAACTGAATGCTGAATTTGTCCCCTGGGAAGCATTCAAGTCTTCAGCTCTTGGTTCTAAGGACCTTTTCAGGCTTCAGTGGTAGGCCTCCTGTGCCATCTCCTCTCTGGAACCTGGATAACTATTTTTCTTTCAGGTCCTAGAACACCTCTTGCCTCGTTTTGTCACACCCTAGCATAATTATGTGTTTCTTTCCATTTCTAGCCAGCAAAGGAAGTCAAGAACCTGGTCCTACTGATGCCAGATTCGTGCCCAATGTTCTGGCCAATCTGGGCATTTCTAGTAAGGCTGTCCGAAGTGATCTGGGGAAGGGGTTGGTAGTAACCAGGGGGGTTGAGGATGTCACAGTCCCTACAGGGGGGAGAGGCTTCACAACTAACAAGGACGAATATAGCTCAGACTGGCCTCGAACTCACGAGAGCAGCAGCAGATCACCCTGCGCCCTTAATACTCCTGCTTTTACTTTCCAGGTTCTGAGGTTGTAGTCATGTGCCACCATGCCCAGCTCGACTGTCAAGATTCCTATGTGTTAATTCAAGGATGGCTTTGCTCCATCACAAGCCCCTATCTGCAGGTGAGGAAACAAGCTGACAAAATCAGGACGCTAGGCTAAAAGAGCCTGGCAAGAAGCCGGATGGACGGACAGTGCCTGCCGCTGACAATTCTTCCATCTGTACGAGCTCATTTGACCACCAGGAGGCGCCAGATGCCTGTGGATGGGGAGGAGCGGGTGCCCGCAAAGGGCCTACAGTGAATGGTCTTTTGAGAGCAGTTGGGGGACTGGGTGGGAGGGCACATCCAGCGAGCCTGGGGAGTCGTGGTACAGAAAGCGTGTGTAAGGGTTGGGGGAGGTGTTGTAAGAGAGCCAGGGTTCAGGAACGTTGGCGGCTGGAATCGGAGCCGAGGGCATGCTGTGGCCTCCTGGTTCTGCCTCGTCTGGCCCTGTTGGGGGAAAAGGGCAGCTCTAGGGAAAAGCAGAGTTCTCTAAAGGGCTGGGCCCCTGCCTCCACCTCAGATCTCCTCAGAGAAGTTCAGAGCCTGGAATAGACCGGACATTCCTAAGTTTTCTGGCAAGGAAACCAGGAAATCAGATCTTGAGCCAATCTCCTTTCAGGCCCAGCCAGTTCTGTCGAATAGGCCCTTGCCCCAGGACTTCCCGGAAAAGCTCCGCTGTGCCAGGGAAGCCACCCTTAGTTTCCCGAATCTGCGGCCTCTAAGATGTACTGCGGTGTGGTTCCCTCTCCCTGGCCATGGGTCAGATCCATCTTCTAAGCATGCACAGTGAACGCTTCTCCGTGGGACACATTAGTGTGTCTCCTTAAGTCCTCTTCCAGTTCCTTCTTCGTGAACGCCTGCGTCTGCAGGGTGGAACCTGAAAAGCTTGGACTCACCGTTAGTCCCCGTTCCTTTTTCACTCCCCACGTCCAGGGAGCGTTTCCACCTCTTGGTTTTCCACCCCGCACTGGGCCAGGTGCCCAGCATCTCTTCACTAGGATCACTGTTAGTGCCTGAAGCTCCACCGTGGCTTCCTCCAAAACCTTTTCCAAGTGGCAGTCTTGATAACCGGGGTATGTCCCCTACCTGCTGAACCTGCCCAGCAGCTTCCTGGTGTTTCCTTTTAATAAAAAATAACTTATTATTATTGTGTGTGTGTGTGTGTGTGTGTGTGTGTGTGTGTGTGTGTGTGTGTGTCAGGGAGGTCAGAGGCAGCTTTGGAATCTCTTCTTTCCCGGCACCTTTACACGGGTTCTGTGGATCTAACTCTCAAGCTCACATAACAAGGGCTTCACCAAGGAGTCATCATGCTGTCCCCATCCCCAGGGGTTTTACATTTGGTTCTTTTTTGTTTGTTTGTTTTTTGAGACAGGGTTTTTCTGTGTGTAGCCTTGGCTGTCCCGGAACCGGCTCTGTAGACAGGGCTGGCTTCAAACTTACAGAGATCCACCTGCTGCTGCCTCCCCAGTGCTGGGATTAAAGGCGAGCGTCACCATCACCAGCTACTTTTTGGGCTCTTTGAGACAGTCTCACTAAGTAGCCAAGGCTGGCCTCAAGTTCCTGATTCTTCTGCCTGACTGCCCAGGGATTGTGGGAATCACGGGTATGAACCATCACACAGTGCTTCCATTGTGCTTGCAATAAACATCTGACTCCTGCATGGCAGGTTCCCCGAATGGGCTGGCCCTTCCCAGCTCTGTGAGACCATGTTCCCCTCACTTTCTAGGGTCCATTTACTCTGGCCAAGCTCACCACAGGGCCTTTGCACGGTTAGCTTCCTCTATCTGGACCCATGTCTTTGCCTTAGGACTCTCCGGGATCTCAGCTCCAGCACTTCTTTCCCAGGGACGTCCTAATTCATCTCCACGACCAGGTCAGATGCCTTACTCACTTTCTAACACCACATACTTAGCTGCCTACAGGTCGGCAGAGCTGTAATTACGTGTTTGTAACACTGTTTAGTTATTAATAGACCTCTATTACGGTAAGGACCACATCAAGTGTTGCCCACTTAAAAACAATCTCCAGGGCAGGTGAGGTGAATGACTTGGTGGGTCACGTGCTGGGGTCCAAACTTGGGGCTGCATGGTACCAGGTACACCATCTCCCCAGCTCTCAGTGTGACCATGTTTATCTTCTGAGACAGGGTCTCACTGTGTAGCTCCAGTTGGCTTGGAACTCCTGCATGCCAGGCTAGTACTGAGCTCAGAGGTCCACGTGCCTTGCCTCTGAGTGCTGGGATTAAAGGTGTGTGTACCACACTGGTCCAGTCACTTGTTCCTTCAAGGACTGACTGCATTGATTAACCCACCTCTTTTCATCTCTATCTCCCATCTAGGCCTGTGTCATTTTTTTGTGGAAACCTTGGCAACCACTTCTTGCCTCCGAGTGTATGTATAACTGACTCCAATCAATGAGGTCCCCCCTCAGAAGTCAAGAGTGTTCTAATGGATTCCAACCTCATCACATCACCACCCTATTTAACGGCTTTCAGTTCCCCAGGGCCCTGAGAATAAAACCCAAGTTCCTAAGCATAGCCTTCCCAGGCTTTGCCTGTGGGGTTCCCCTCATGGGAACTCTGTCTCAGGGATCTTGTCTAACTCAACAAATAGCCAGTGCCCGTTCTGCTGGGCAGTGGGCATGGCTTTCATTCCAGAAGCCCAGACTCCGTCACATTTATCCGGTCTTCTGGATATGGGCACACAGCTGTTTCCCCACACAGCCCTTCCCCTGGCCTTGCCTAACAAGTGTCTTTCCCCTTCCCACCTCCCTGAACTTGCCCAGTCAACACCCCCCAGGTGAAGGCTGCCTGGCCCGGCTTCCCAGCCTGCTCACACTCCTGGGACGCGCCATACTGCTCCGGACCTCTCACGGTGCTGACCACAAGCTTTACTCTCACATTTGTTTGTGTGGTTAATGCCCGCCTTCGCTTTCAGGAGGCTCAGGAGCTTCAGAGCTTGCTTTCTGTTTACCACGGTGTCCCTCTGGCATTTAGCGGGTGCTCCACAGACAATTTATTGACTGAACAAATGGGTAAGTGCTTTTCCCAAGAGTACTCAGAGGACACTGCCTTTCAGGGAGATGTTGGTGCCTCTGCCTCAGCTGTGGGGCTGGGAAGGGCGTGTGAAGGAACTTCAACTGTGGCCCCGAACGGCTCACCTCTCCCTGGCCTCCCGGGCCATGACATGCCTGTGACTTGCACCTTGCATCCTGTCCACCTCCCCAATCCCTTGTAGCTACTCTGAGGCATTTTCACAGTTCCAACAAGCCAGCTCCTGCAGGCACCCTCAGAGCTTCCTACATGTTGACTCTTACCTGAAACTCTCCCCTAGGGAGGCCATGCTTGCCCTGAACTTTGAAGTCTCCTTCTGCTTTCCTAAGTGGATTAAGGCCATGCCAACATGCCCAGAACTCATTCCCTTTCCTGTTTCTCAAAAGGAAAACAAATTCATGCATTTGTTTATGTTATGTGTCCCCAGATGGGTTAGACGCTGTGGGCCACACAGAAAACTCAGTTTGCATCGGCTTGGACAATATGGGAAGTACTTTGGAGACAGGCTTGCTTAAAAATGTTTTGGCTTTGAATGTATTATTGTTTATGAGTGTGCCTGCTGTAGGTGTGGGCGTGTGGAGGTCGGAGGACAACTCTGCAGGGTCAATCCTCTCCTGTCAAGCTTGTTCTGAAAGCACATTTGTCCAGCGAGCTACTTCACCAGCCTGAGACGGGCCTGTTTTGTGGTTGGTTAATTTAGAGGCGCACTCAAGGACTTAGATTTTGGGGGCTATAAGCTCAGCAGTAGAGCACTTGCCTCACACGCATGCACGAGGCCCCAGATCCAATCCCCAGTACAAAAACAAAACAAAACAAAAAACCAACAACGACAAAAGAGAAAAACCAAAAACAGACGTAGCATTCAAGGGCTTCGGTTCTCCACACTGTCACTCTTGACGAGGGCTTTGTTTCCAGGTTGGTTAGTGGGTGTGCGCTAATTCCAGGCATCACAATGCCACCTCATATCACATAAGCAGGGTTTCTCTCCTCCTGTCACTACTGCAGCGTGGCAAATGGTCACAAAACTTGCCAATTTAAAGCATTGTCTCAGTCTTTGGAGGTGGCTAAGCTGGCTGGTTCCAGCTCTAGGTGTCCCATGAGGTGACAGTCACATTGTCAGCCAGGCTTAAAGTGGTCGGAAGGCTGGCCTGGGGCTGAAGCACCGTTTCCAAGTTTAGTCTCCTAACTGCTGTCAGGAAGCTGCAGTTTCTGGAGACACAGGTCTTTTATAAGGATCTTATTTTTACCCAGCCTTCCTCCACTGGAGTGGTCCAAGGGCAGAGAGCAACCAAGCCGGAGGCCTGGACTGAGCGAAACATCAGTCTCTCTCCTGTGTTCCACTCGCTACTCAGTCCAACCCGGTTACAACACTCAGGGGTCACTGGGAGGTCACCTCAAAAACTATCTGCCACACACCTGTGCCACCTGCGCACACATTAGCCAATCAATCACCCAGGGAACTCAGGAGCATCATTTTTGGCTTATCACAATTGTGATTCACGGCCCCTGAGGCAAGGAGCCACCTCTGATGAATCGTGGTCAGTGCTGGGAAGAGCCTGGTTACCTGGAGGTTTCTAGGCAATTTAGAGATTCTGTCGGGAATGAGGAAGGGGCAACAAGGAGGGATGCCCGGCACAGCCCACAGTGTCCATGATGCTCACTGTTTGAGCAGAAATTCCACAAGCACAAAGGCTATGTCTTTTCCTACTACTGTACTTCCAGGCAGGGTGACGCCCAGTATAGGTTATGTGCAGCAACTAATATCTGTTGGAAGAATAAAAGGATGAATTCATAACCAAACTAGAAGACCATAGGGCAGGGAGTCCAGGGCTCCTGAAAGTCTCAGAACTCAGGTCACCTGTCCCTACCCTCACCCCCAGCTCCAAGGACACACAAATTTGGCAGAATTATTCTCACTTTATTTCTGGAGAACTTTGATCAGATGTAATAACACTGATTCCAGGCGAGGACAGGGGGCATCGCCCCTGAAGCAACCAGTATTTTGTGGCCCAAGGTGCCCCCTCCCCATTCCCAGACCTGGGTTCCCCCTCAGTTACAGTTAAATAGAGGAAGATTTTCCCAGGGGGCCCTGGGAGGAGGGACTGCCTCCTGTACCCGCCTCCTCCACGTAGAGGTGTCTGAGCAGAAGCTATTTACAGTATTCACATCCACTGTACCCCACCAAACCAAGGCAAATACTACAAGTGGTCCTTCCCCCAGGGGGAGGCCAGAGAGGCTATGAGTGTATGTGTGTGTGGGGAAGATGGGTGTCTGAGTGTGTGAGCACACAAATGCACTGAGGGGCAGGGCCTGCTTCCCGCCAAAGACACGTCAGTCTGTAAGGTGCAGATTAAAAACAACAGAGGACCCATGCCTGAGGGCCCGGGCCACTTCCACTTTTGTTCCGTCTCTTTCTCTTCCAGACACCCAAGAGCTGATACAAAGGAACCTTCACAGCTGCACCCGGGTCCAAGGCAATTGCTTAAAGGACTTCTGAGGAAAAGGAGAGGGAAAATGTCAGGGCTGGGCAGTCCCAGGTAGGGATGGGTGGGATGCAGCTGGATCCAAGGGCCAGGGTCCCTGCAGTCCTACCTGTGACCTGTGGGGGCTGCACCACTGCTTTCTTGAGAAAAGCTTCTGCCTCCGCAAACGGGAGGAGCCCCTCTGGGGCTCGACCCAAACTCTTCTCTCCAGCAGTTCCCTTTGGGGAGAAGCCGTTCTCCTGGTGTGCTGGGAGGGACTGCAGGCCATTCACCAGGGACCCTGGCATCTCCTTGCTTGGCAGACTGTGGATGCAGGGGTTCAGAGTTAGCGCCTCACCTCCCTGAGAAGCCCAGAGTAGTCCACAGCTCCAGCCTGCAGCTGCCTGCCTGGCTCAGAGTCCCTGGGGTTGGGAGCTGGTACCTCCACTGTGGCTCCTGAAGGGCCAGCTCCTCTTTCTGCACAGAATCCTTCTGTAACCCAGAGGGCCGAGTCTCTACAGCCTTCACAGGGTCTATCACATCAAAGAAACCGCCATTAATTAGGGGCTGTTTAAGGGTGGGGCTGGATCTCAGGGGTGCAGGGCAGAGGAAATGAGGGGAGTAGGGCTTTAC